GCCCAGCAGGGCAGGGGGTGAGTCATTGTGCAAGGGGGCTTCGAACCTGTCTGACCAGTTATCTCCCAGGGAGCAGGACAATGGGGAGAAGGGGAGTGGAGCCCTGGCTGGGGGCAGGGCTGGAAGAGAGTGAGTTAGGTTTCTGGCTGGTATCATGGAGGAAGCAGCCTAGGCAACGGGTTGGGATTTAGGGGCCCAGGCTCCCCCATCTCAAGGGGGGCAGAGGCATCCTAGGCCTGCCCTGTAACCAAATTACATCTGTGCTGTATCCTGAAGAAGCAATAAACTCCCTCTGTTCTACTGGCTGGTGGAGTCTGTCCGTGCCATTACGGGGGTGCAGGAGACGGGAAAACCCCAATGTGCCCTCACACCCCCCTGTGCCCACTAGACTCCTCCCCCTCCAGAGCTGAGAGAGCCCAGGAGTCCTGATGAAGTTAGTAACAAAGGCAGAAAGTCTATTTAAAACGTTAGGGCTAACCAGTGCCCCGTAACTGACTTGCCAAAAGACGCCCGAATATGTCCATGTTAGAGCCGAGGGGGTCTATAATATTTTTATTTTTATTTCTTGTATATAGGAACCAGACGATGTACCCAGCGTTGCTCGGGTCCTTAGCTCAAATACGTACGTTTTGTTTTTCTTCATTTACATCCTTGCTCTGGGGCGGGCCTGGAGAGGAGGGGCTCAGTCTACAGGCTGTTCCAGGGAGAGAGGACAACCCCAGCCCTTTCTCACCGCAGCAGCTTGGGGCCAGGTGAGAAGCGCCTCCCCTTGGCCGCTGCCACTCCAGCGGGCACAGCTGGGGGAGGGACACATGCCCCCCGGCTGGGGAAAGACAAACAGACACACCAGTTCTCTGCAATGTATAGTAAGTAGCTAGCTGCCCCTTTCTCCACTCCTGCCCCCTGCTACCCCAATGGGGTTATAGCTGCCCTGGTCCCCTTCTCTGCTGCCCCCTTGTGGTCATTCTACAGAATACCTGTCCCTCCTATCAGACCCTCCCCTACCCATTTTACGAAAAACAATCGGATTCCAGGCACATCCCGTTATCCTGACACAACTGGCCCCTGACCTTGCTGTAAGTTATGGCATAAGAAGGCTGCCTACCAAATTCGGGGGGCTTACCATTTAGGAGGAGTTCATCAACAAACTGACTCAGAGACGGACCGACACAGAGACAACATTTCGAAAATAAACTGTAGATTAGACACGGTGCTCCTGTCAGCTAATTGCTAAGTTAACTGTCAAAAAACTAGAGTTCTCAAGTATCTTAGTGACCCTTGGAAAGAGGGGATGTGCAGGGGGGAAGGGAAGGGTGGTTGGGATCGGTCCCCTCCCCCCCACTTGCTGCTTGGCTTGTACGACGCCGCTGCCCTCACCCTTCCTTCCACCCCCATCACAGCATGCACAAGTTGCCTCCCATCCCCCCACCAAAATCTGAAAGGGGGCCCCTGAAAGAGAGAGCGGGTCTCTCCGGCAGGTGCAACCGCCCTGGCCTGGCAAAGGCAAAAGGGCGAAAGCTGGTTGGAAAATGGATTTTAGCTGAGAAGCTTGGCTTGTACGACGCCGCTGCCCTCACCCTTCCTTCCACCCCCATCACAGCATGCACAAGTTGCCTCCCATCCCCCCACCAAAATCTGAAAGGGGGCCCCTGAAAGAGAGAGCGGGTCTCTCCGGCAGGTGCAACCGCCCTGGCCTGGCAAAGGCAAAAGGGCGAAAGCTGGTTGGAAAATGGATTTTAGCTGAGAGCGCCCAGCCAGCCCTTCCATAGGGTGTGCGTGTTTGCTAGGGGACCCCCTTAATTCCAGGGGGGTTCGCTAGGGGACCCCGCTCATAGGGGGGTGTTTGCTCATTCCCTAGGGACATGCTCGCTAGGGGAATCCCAGCCAGGCCGACCCGAGCGCGGGGCTGCGGCTGACCCGGGCCAGGCACGGGTGCCAGGG